ACCCCTATCTTTCAACTATTATTAAATATGAAGTTGACATTCTACGTATAATCTTAACCTTCTTTATGCTTAAGTACTCTACTAAGCTGCCTTCTTACCGTAAATAATATTGTTTTTTTCTATTCCATTGAATAATTTATACTTTAAAACTACATCACGTCAATAGGATATACAAACAATTACTATCTTATACTAATTTTTATCTATCTTCACAATTCTATGAGTGGTTATTTTGCAGATACATAATCAAACAAGCTGCCTGCTTACGTTAAAATTACTGATAACAGAACCTTATCATGATTGTTTACACGAAGAACAAGAATTACAGGTGCAGGCAGATTTTTATTATTTCTAACAGAATCTTTGTTTGTATGCTGGGCAAATGATTTGTAGGCTGTTTGTTTTGTTTTTCCAATGAATTTCTTTTTTATTTATTATTATGTTTATAATTTATTATACATAGTTAATGTGTTACTCATGAACTCGATTGGTAGTAAAAAATGCGACACAATGCGATGATATAAATTATTATGTCTTATTATAATAACTACGTTCTACCGATTTAATGAAAGACTCTTATTTGTGCATGTTTTTTTCATAAAAATCACCCTTTTAAAATTAAAAAAAATAATAAAAAATCAATTCAGGTGAGTTGTTGCCTCAGAAGAGTGTTTCATTAAATAATACAAAATTGTTACAAGCTCATTCTCATAAAGGACACGCATCTAGTGTAGGTTCTATCTATACAACGATTTAACATTCCATCGACGACTTTCCCAATTATTTACTAGGTACTTAGTGAATAAAGAAACAATAAATAGCAAAATAAATATACTTATATTTATTATATATCGTATTGGTCATTCGACATTTGTTCTTATATCACAGGATGTTACTCATTCGAGATACTTCTTGATTCACAATTTTAGCAACCACAGTCCTTTTTATACAGACAAAAAAACTAAAAGCTTTCTATAAACTAAGTAATTCTTAAAAGATGGCGCATACTGCATATACAAAAAAAGTTTATGTTCAAATCGAAATATAAATTGAGGAGCTGGCGAACTAAACGGTATAATAGGGTATTTGACAGTATTAAAAATAAAGTGCCAATTGTTAGCATCTGCGTTTAGATTAGATATCGGAAGGGGTTTTTACTATTTTTACAAAAACTATATTCATAATTTTACTAAAAACCCTCGAAAAAGATAATAGTTTTCTTATCTATTGTCACGTGACCCAAAACGCTAGTGATTGGCGGAGCCTAACACCCATATTCTTAATCGCGTCCTCAAACGTTCCTCGACTCAAACTCATTCGAGGGCTCCTTAAGGAGTTCCTCCAAATAACCTCGAAAATGGTATTCTAGTTGGTATCTTGAACAAACTTGACAATTCCTCCACTGAGAATTCCTCAACATTGTGACGTCATCATTTGGAGGATTTTATTTCTATAATGGTTAACAGAGGAAATATTACTTGTATGTATAATATTACTTTTCTAAACCGAAATCTTCTTTGAAACGAATCATTGTCGTAAACCTTAAAAGGATTTGCGGCATCACGTAAATACCGTCGCGCCGGATAATTATATGGTTAATCATCGTGTATGTGTTACTGAATAAATAAATAAATAAATCGTATACTTAATCCATAGAATCCACAAATTCGTCAATAATCTCAAAATCAGACATAATTCTCGATAAAAGCAACTTGAAAACACCACTCGAGGAAGCCTTAAGGTACGTCGAGAGCTACCTTGAGTTTGACAGTTTATTCCTCGACTCGACCTCCACTCGAGTGAGGAATATCTCAAGTGAAGGATATTTTTGTTGTCTAAGCATACGAATTTCCTCCAATGAGGTTGAGTCGAGTGGAAAAAATCTCGAGGAAACGACTAAGAATATGGGTGTAAGTCCTGGTTACGTAAAAAATGGTTTGCATTCACCATTTAACGACAGTCAAAATGAGATCATAATTCGACAGTGACAATAAACTGTTAAAACGAGGCCAGTTAAAGTTATAGTATTTAACATTAACTAGTTTTGTCGTGTAACTCACACTTTAAATTTCCCAATTATTAATGTTTGATTAACGATATCACTAGCTAAGTATATGCAGGTTCATTAAACACACATTCCCTCTGTTATCACATATTATTAATACTACATACCATACAACTATCAGCAAAATACTTGTGATATCACTTGAAACTACCACTAATAATTCTCTAAAATCTCATTTTCATTTATCTATCAACATTTATTTGTTAATCATGCAGTTATCAAATGCGTCCAGCGGTTAACGTATCCATGAAATTAGTTTTCTCATTATCCATGAAATTAGTATAAAATTTCTCATAAGGCACGGCCCCGACCAAGAACAGTGGCCGTAATGATCAGATTAACTAAAGTTTATGGTCATCATCATCATCAGCCCATTAATGTCCCCACTGCTGGGGCACAGGCCTTCCCTATGGATGGAATAGGGAGATTGGGCCATGACCCACCACGTGGGCCCAGTGCGGATGCAGCCGGGACCAACGTCTTAACGTGCCTTCCGAAGCACGAAGGAATTCGAGATAGAAGATTTTTTGTCACCAATCCAACGACCGACCACTGCGAAAGTTGCTTAACTTCAACGATCGCAGCCGAACGCGCTAACCACCTGCGCCAATCTAGTTAATCTGGTCGTTGCGGCCACTGCCCCTGGTCGTGGCCGTCTAGTGCGCGAGATGCCTAAAGCCTCGATGATACGGGGCGAGTTTACAAGCTACAAGTCAGCGAGTTCGCTAGTAGCTTGTAAACTCGCCCCGTGTCATCGAGGCTTAAGGGCGTGGATCACACTAGCGAAAACGTACTTAACATTTTTGACTGAACTTCTGAAACCTAATACTTCTAACGTTATCATTGAATAGTATTAGAGCATCTTATGGCGTTTTCTCCAATAAGGATGCACGTCCCGCCAGGTTCTACAACTAGTATCTAACGAGTATTTGCTTTAATTTCACTTGAACTAGGGAACTCGCTCGCATATACGCAAATATAACTACAAGCGCTGTTCTCAGCTATTTTGCGCAGTAACAAAAATAGAACCAATTGAAGTTGATCTTCCAGAATCAAATATTTGCAACACTTCACTCTGTCTGTGTCGTAAACTCGCTCGCAAATCGCGATGTTGCGCAGTGAAAAAAAACGAGTGTGCTTATGACCACACGACTGAAGTGAAACTTCTTTAGCTCCATCTGTATGTATGTACACATATATATGTGTGTGTATAATATGTAAATATAATGCATGTATGTACATACACATATTTCATTTACTAGCTATAAGAGAAAGAAAATGTGCGCGCGCACTGCTTTCTCTTGCTTATATCCACTCAACTCCCGTACGCCTCGCCCGAACACAGTTTTCGTAACGCGTAACGCATTCGCCATCTTACCCACCAAGCGTGCGTAAAGAAGTTTCACTTCAATAAGAAACATGATGGTTGACCTTCCAAAATCAAGGAAACGCATTGAAACCACTGGCCGTAATATATATATCTATCTTCTAACAAGTCTAAATTTGCAGTCACTGGAGTGTCGCAGACGTTTGCTGGATCATATGTTTCTGTACAAGCTAGTGAACGGCATCTTTGACACACCTGACCTATTATCTAAAATCAACTTTCGCATACCGTCGCGACTTCCTAGGCTTACGAATTATGCACCCTTTATGGAGAGACTCTCTCGTTCGCGCCATGGTCGCTACTCACTCGGTCGCTGAATAGGTTGATGATAGCTTACAATGGCTTGCACAGAAGCATTGCTCAAAATCATTCTAGTAGAATCAAATGTGGATTACCACAGCATGCTCATGAGCATGATTCACAATTAATTGATGTCGACATTTTCTCTAATTCTCTTAAATATTTCCAAAATAATGTAAAAAAAATACTAGATTTGACGTAGGTATTTGCTGGTGACTGTAAATGTTTATTATGTTTAATTTTGATTATTATAACATCAATTTCCATTAATTCACAATATTTTGTGACATTTTACCGAATAATGATATAATTTTAATGAAATGTTTTTAATTTTAGTATATATATATATTTTTTTTATATTTTACTACTAACTATTTCACATCAATAGAAGATTTTTAAATAGTGTGATTTTGTTATGCGATATTTTTGCTTATCAGTGCTATTGTGTAACATCTATAATTAAGATTGCACTTAGTTCGCTTCCACATTGTTTGTAAGTTGCTTTATAATGAGTTGGTGTTAATCTTGTTGATGTTAATAAATAAATAAATAAATAAAAAAAAAAAGTCATTGCCACTCATAATGTCCTCCCACATGGGTTCGTAACGTGCGTAATAATCAGCACCTAGCTACCAACCCATGGGGATAGAAAAAAACCAGCGAGCCTTACAGTAGTCGCGTATGATGTGTAACATTTGAAACCTCACCGTATATTAGTAAAAAAAGAAATAAACCCTACTACAAAACGAACAAGCCATTTGAACATTATGTTCTGAAATCAAATCAAATAGCGCGCGCTTTCGCAACTTCCTGTTACACATTTCCGTCCCATTTCAGTCGTCATTTCACGTGCCCCTGGATCTGTCAAATTTCACGATTGGGCCTCAGCACTTAATTTTGTCCGTGGAACGCAAATTCACCTGCTATTGACACAGAAGTTTATAATAAATCCTATCTATCAAGGAGTCCTTGCAATTGCCACTCATAATGTAAGCAAGTCCTCCCACAGTCAGTCGCGCGCGTAACGCCGCGGTGACAAGTCTCTACAAATGGTAGCCCGCCCCCGGATCTGTCAAATTTCGCAATTGGGCTTCAACACTTTTATTTTATCCGTGGAACGCAAATTCACTTGCTATTGACACAGAAGTTAATTAAACCTATCTATAACGAGTCCTTGCCATTGCCACTTATAATGTAAGCAAGTCCTCCCACAAGGGCGTCAGTCGCGCGCGTAATGCCGCGGTGACCAGTCTCTACAACTGGTAGCCCGCCACCCGATCTGTCAAATTTCGCGATTGGGCCTCAGCACTTAATTTTGTCCGTGGAACGCAAATTCACCTGCTATTGACACAGAAGTTAATTAAACCTATCTATAACGAGTCCTTGCCATTGCCACTCATAATGTAAGCAAGTCCTCTCACAAGGGCGTCAGTCGCGCGCGTAACGCCACGGTGACAAGTCTCTACAACTGCTAACCCGCCTCCGGATTTGTCAAATTTCGCGATTGGGCCTCAGCACTTAATTTTGTCCGTGGAACGCAAATTCACTGCTATTGTACAGAAGTTTATAATAAATCCTATCTATTAACGAGTCGTTGCAATTGCCACTCATAATCTTAGCGGATCTGTTAAATTTCGCAATTGGGCCTCAGCACTTAATTTTGTCCGTGGAACGAAAAATTCACTTGCCATTAACACAGAAGTTAATAATTAATCTTATCTATAACAATTTCTTGCCATTGTCACTCATAATGTAAGCAAGTCCTCCCATAAGGGCGTCAGTCGCGTGCGTAATGCCGCGGTGACCAGTCTCTACAACTGGTAGCCCCCAAATCTGTCAAATTTTACGATTGGGCCTCTGCACTTAATTTTGTCCGTGGAACGCAAATTCACCTGCTATTGACACAGAAGTTTATAATAAATCCTATCTATCAAGGCGTCCTTTCAATTGCCACTCATAATGTAAGCAAGTCCTCCCACAAGGGCGTCAGTCGCGCGCGTAACGCCGCGGTGACCAGTCTCTACAACTGGTAGCCCGTTCCCGCTGCTGGCACTTCGGCCCGCACAAGCGGCGGCGATAGCGGATCCTCGCTGGATGTTAAAGTCGTGGATGGTGGTAGACCTGGAATACAAGCAGCTTTAGTAGTAGTGATAGTAAATCCTTGTTTAGATGACACACGCGTCAACACAATTAGTGCTCAGAGACTAAAGCACGAATTTTTAACTATTTCGTAAAGTATCGCATCAACGATGTTCAATACCCTAGATACAACAACACAAACAAAATCGTAGCCGAAATTTGTCCAAAAGGTATGTTGGACGATCCACGGAGCTCCGTAAGATGATCGCGTAGTCAAAAACAATATAAGGCATTATTTTAACATTGAAAGTCTGATTATGGCGCGTAGAATTACAGAAATAAGGGCTATATTCTTCCGCTTAAAGCAATAAGTCGTAAAGTTTTACGAGCTTGCATTTCGAACAGTCACAACTCTTTGACGCATGCATTTTAATAAAGGCCTTATACAGTGAGCATTAAAGGTGACTTTCAATGTTTTTAAAAATGGTTTTTATTGTTTTTGACTACGCGATCATCTTACGGAGCCCCGAAGATCGTCCAATGTAACTATTGGTCAGGTTTCGGCCATGATTTTGTTCGTATTGCTGTTGTATCTAGGGTATTCATTTATTTTTAAAAGGGCAGAGATATACCTTATGTTACTCTGTCCGCCTTGTTATACTGTCTCCTATTTGACCCTACCTACAACTAAGAATGGTAGAGCACAGTGCAGTCTGACGCTTGAATTGGAGCGCCCTTCTGGGGGCCATTCGCCTAACAGAAATGCTTAGGAAAACGCTAACGCTTACGATTTCATTTTGTTATTTCTAGCCGCCTGAGGTTTTCAAATGCCTCGCGCTCTTTTTTTTTCTTTGCATTGGTAATAACAATATTAAACAAAATGAGCGTGAGGTATTTATAAACCTTCGGCAGTCAGAAATAACAAAATGAAATCGAAAGTGTTAGCGTTTTCCATAGCATTTTCGTTAGGCGAATGGCCCCCTGGGGAACTAATCATAGCCTTCCCATTTTTCAGGTGGGATGGGGTAATTTTCTAGGCCTTCTATAAAAATTACGTTAAGTACAGTACACAATTACACATACCTTCATTCTCATCTTCCTCTGCTAACCACTTCTGTATGTCCATTTGGTACATCCGCCTCTGTAGCACTTCCTTTGTTCGCGGTCGAGAGCCGATAAACGTCACATCCGCCTAGAGAAAATGCATAAACGGGATTAGATTATTAATATGAGCTGCTTTTTATTTTTGAATTTATTGCAATAAGTGCATTTTCACATTTCCCTTATCTTTAGAAAAACACGTAAAACAATACTAGCGCAACATGCAAAACAAAATACTTTGACAAATCAAATATCTGAAAGTGAGTTCGGCTATTATCGACCTCCGTGGCCGAGTGGTTCGTACGCCGGGTTTCATGGTGTCGCCGACTCGAGAGGTCCCGGGTTCGTATCCCGGTGGGGGCAGATGTTTGTGTGATGAATACGAGCATTTGTACTCCAGTCATGGATGTTTAATATGTTTTTCTATATAAATATACTTATTTATGTACAGTATATGTATACTAATCGTTACCCTAGCATCCCATAATAGCACAACCCTTATAGTGCTTACTTTGGAGATAGGCTTATTGGTGTGAGTGTTGCAAATATTTATTTATTTATCCATTCATTAGGTAAGATACTGTTAAAAGGAAATCCCAACAAATCCCAGTATTTAAAGGCGTGTTAATCGCATTTTTTTCGGCCCGCCTATTTGATCGCGGTTTGCGTGGAACTACTTTTTTAGCGCACAGTTCGAATTCCTTTTCTAATTCTTTTTTTTTGTTGAAGTTCTCCCGTTTTAGGGAAGGCAAAGGGAAGAATGCCCATACAGCCTAGTCTTTAATTAAATTAATCTTCTTTTTGTTTTTACATTAGAATGTCGGTGTGACGCATTCTAATGTTCCTTGGAGTGTTTGGCACGAAATGAATCGAGTTGGCCTTTTCGATAAGCTTCTGTGAGGTAGTCAACACTACAATAAAATTCTCACGTCCACTTGACCGGAATGGCGTATATTTTAACTATTCCACTAATTCTTCAGTTACGCAGACGGTTGTTACACAAAACCACACCAATTTTATTTCACAATATCCACTATGAACGAATTTAAGAATAATTAAAATAAGACGCCAACCGCACTCGATGAAATCCCGCCAAAAACCCTCCTTTTCTAATTCGTTGATCCAGGGATGCCAGCATCAACACCGGCAACATTCATAAGACGCTGGGGACTGAAACTAGGGGTAATTGTGATATTGCAGACACCTACAAAACGTACCCCATTAGGTAGAAAGGGTCGCAGCTCTTCAGCCAAGTCCCCGATAGCGCCCAGCCTTTGGGCTTCCTCCCAACTCGTATGCACCTCCTCGTGTAGCAGTTTCTCCTCTGTAAACAGAAATAAACAATTTCTAAAAGAGTAGCTAGGCCGAGGACTGAGGGTCAATTGCCTGACGGGATAGTTATGGCTATTGCTATCACTTACAATTTAATTTTGTTATTTCTGACCCCGAAGGTTTCAAATACCTTACGATCATATTGTTATTACCAATGCAAAAAAACGAGCGGGAGGCATTTTAAAACCTTCAGCGGTCAGAAGTAAAAATGAAGTCGTAAGCGATAGCCATAGCGATAGCCTTAGCAATATAGTTAGGCGATTGGCCCCCTGGAGTACGACAGCGGGAGAGTAAAGGTGTCAAACAAGCTTATGTTTGCCTGTTTAGGTGTAGCGAAAGTTGCTTAACTTCAACGACCGCAGCCGAACGCGCTAACCACCCGCGCCATCGAGCTCCTCAGCCTCAAAAAATATTTAATAATATCTAAAAGTTACTAAATAAATTGTATGTACAATGTTACTTACAGAATAAATTATTTGATTTGATGATGACCCACCTGATGATAAGCGGCCACCATAACCTGTAGACGCTTGCAATACAAAAATCGCGCCGTAGCCTACCCTGACCCCATTCTCTACCCCGTGGAGCCCTATATAGAGCCTTAATTCACTTACTCACCGTCAGAAACACAAGACCGCCAAAAGTAGTGTTATTTCACTCTGGATTTCTGTAACGTGTTTTTTTATTATAGATGGGTCCGTCAAATGACTCCGCCCCTCCTTATGTTAAGTGACGGTGAAGTCTAGACGTGAAGATAGCTGGTACAGCAACTCTACCTGCCACACCAGCCATCCTCATCTTGCCGGCCAGCATGTTGCTTCTTCACGTCTCTTTTAAAGGATCCCAGGTTGTAAGAAGGAGGGAACACGTGAGCAGGTAAAGCATTAGCACAGGTAACTTCCTCTCGAAAGAGATTTGAAATTACTTCACCATGAGGAGCCCAACTCTTGAATAGAATTCCTATTTCTCTTGGTCACTCCATAACTTGAGATTTAGAACGACTCCACTGATACCATCTTTAAACGTTAGTTGAACTAGCTACTAATGCTTCTAAGATTCCGTTAAATGAAAGCAATTAACTTCTTCTTATTAACTTTAATTAAACACTTTATCACTCTTTACAACGACTTCACTTCTCGACACCGTGAGGAAGAATGTGCAAAAGTGGTCATTCCCCCTTACTTTCTCTCTCCATTCCCACTAAAAAACATCTCCTCTGTGATTGGTCGTTCATTAATGCCGCGGGAAAATAAAGCGTTCTGATAAGCCGACGACAAATACCCGTTGATCAATAGCGTTCGAGCTAGATTAAGCGGCAAGGCATTGAGTTGCCATCATAGAAAATTCAAATGTTGCCAATTTAAAAATAAATTCATACCGATTTTCTACGAATATTACTAACCCTAACACACCCACCTTTTTTAAGATTTCTAATACCCTGTGAAAGGTTCATAAGGAAAAATTACAGAGTTGCGCAGAAACTTAATTTACAACTCTACACAATAGGTGGCGCTGTAGTTTTTGGGTTTTATCTTTTTTTCTGATATTAGTTTGATTTAGTGTTTTATCTGGTATTATAAACCAACATACCGTCCCTCTTGGTTGTACTCCTCTTGTATTGTATCCTGAACCGGAATGCTTCTAACACACTCGCCACCACGATCGTAAGCACCACCATTGTGAACAGATAAAACACCTGAAATGAAACCAAAACCTTCACTGAGCATCAAAGGATTTGTATATTATAGGAATAGCTGGATGGCACAAGTTATTAGCGCCTTTGGTCTGCAATTGTGGAAGTTAAATAACTTTTGCTTTTGCTAATCTTGAGCTCCTCCGTGCTTTCAGAAAGTACGTTAAGTCGTTGATACCTTTTTTTTGAGTATGTATGCTGTTGCTCGCAGATGACCTGTACAGCGTCACCGGGTTAGGGGACGGCGAAATCCTAAGAGGACCTCAAGCCGAGAATTGGCGAGTGCCTCTAGAGGTATTCCAGGCGGATGGCATCTCCCCACAGGGGGAGTCTCCTCTCCGTCTGGAGCCTCTAGACCACTCGAACCTGAGGAATTTGATACCTGCTGCGTCTGCAGTCTTTAGTACCCAACGATTCGCACTGGGTCCGCGATAAAGCATGGCCCAATCTGAGCACAGACCTTCTAAATGCGAAAGTGTGGCTGTCTATCTGTCTGTCTGTGACCCCTTCACGCTTAATCCATTCAACCGATTGAGATGAAATTTGGTAAAGGGATAGTTTGAGTCCTGGCAAAGGATAATAAAGGATATAGGATAGCTTTTATCCCAGAATTCATCCTTAAAAGGGTTGAAAAGGGGGATATAAGTTTGTATGTGAAACCTATTAAACTACACAGACGAATACGCGGGTCCCACTTGTTAGTAATAAGCAGAATAAGTTGATCATAATGATTTATTTAGAAATGCCTTCCCTTTTCACCTATATAGAAGGCCTGTGCTCCAGCAGTGGGGTTATTAATCAATGAAGATGATAACGTAGGGGGAGTCTATGTGGAATGCAAATGGGATTTTAGATTTGAGAGCGCAGTAGTACTTTTATAGCGTGTTTATAAAGTTTTACCCCTTTTAGACATGTTTAAATACAAAAAACCGCAAGAAATCACAACAACAAACAAATCCGTATCAATACAAAACTTTCACGTTTGACAGATGGCTGGGTTGGATTACCATATAAAATCTTAATGTTAGTTCCGTTTTTCGCCACGCCCATTCTCTTTCCGCACAGGCTCTATCAATAGATCATAGATAAATACATCCGAAATATATGTAAGAAATTATACCATGTACCCACCATGAAGTAAATTCTGCTGAACTGTCCCGCAACGGTGGCGTACGCGTTCATAAGTATGAACCAGTTGTTGACTACGGTCAGCTCGAACAACGTCACACCGCTCGTGATGAGGTTCTCGAAGTTGTTCAGATAGTAGTACCCGAGTGCCGTCGACCCGTTGTATGAGTACTTGTAGAAGTCTTCGACGGTCGTGTTCCTGTTGGGAGAAAGAAAGAAAATGAATTTATTGAACGACTCCAAAATAACATAAGTTATCAATTAATATAATGTAGATGAAAAATGGAGAAATAAGTAGGATTATAAGATGGCAAATAAATTATCCATTGTCGTGTCATTTGTTGAGGGAGGGGGAATTGCTGTGTTTTAAGATTTTGTGAAAGCTACTCTATCAAAAACGATGGAGAGGCATTTTGAATTTATGGTCATACAGTTATTTTGTTATTCCTTGTGATGTGAATGTGATGCAGGAAATTTTTAATATAGGCATAATTTGTAACGAAATCTTAATCTAGTAGATAAGTGTATAGACGTATTAGGCATTATTCAAAGATACTTATTTGGCAACAGGATTGGAGGCTAAAAATTAAAAATTGCTCCGTTTTTCCACCAATTCGAATGTAATCCGAAGAAATATACAAATTCTTGAACTACAAAGTCTTTCATACTCATATGCAGCAATTCTTGAGGACAGATTCGGCGAGGAGCTCTATGCCGACAATGGTGAAGAAGTAATACATGACCTGCATCACGCAGCCCACTGACGACATTAGAGGCGACAGAAGAACCAGAGTACCACATCTCTTTTCAGTTTGTATAGCCTAGAGAACTATAAATCTTTGATCTAACAAATTCCTCCATACTCACACGCAGCAGTTCTTGAGGTCGTATCCAACGAAGAGCTCCATGCCGACAATGGCGAAGATAATACAAGATCAGCATCACGCAGCCCGCGGACAATATGAGGGGCGACAATAAAACTACAGTACCGTATCGCTTCTTCAGTTTGTATAGCCTTTAAAACTATAAATTTTAATCTAACATAGTCCTCCATACTCACACACAGCAGTTCTTGAGGTCATATCCAGCGAAGAGCTCTATGCCGACGATGGCCATACTTTTAGAAATGTATCTGCTGTAAATTTTGTATTGAAAAAACGCTGTTGGTTTTCTAAGAAAATAAATAAAATAGAGTATCACATCTCTTCTTCAGCTTGTATAGCCTATAAATGTATAAATCTTTGATCTAACAAAGTCCTCCATACTCACACGCAGCAATTCTTAAGGTCTTATTTACACTACTACACTATCTTATCCGGCGAAGAGCTCCATGCCGACGATGGCGAAGAGTAATACATGTCCAGCGTCACGCAGTCCGCGGACGACATGAGGGGCGAGAATAGAACTTCAGTACTGTACTCTTCTTCAGCTTGTATAGCCCATAAAACTATAAATCTTTGATCCAACAAAGTCCTCCATACTCACACGCAGCAGTTCTTGAGGTCTTATTTACACTACTACACTATCTTATCCGGCGAAGAGCTCCATGCCGACGAAGGCCAAGAGCAATACATGTCCAGCATCACGCAATCCGTGGACGACATGAGGGGCGAGAATAGAACTTCCGTACTGTATCTCTTCTTCAGCTTGTATAGCCCATAGAACTATAAATCTTTGATCTAACAAAGTCCTCCATACTCACACGCAGCAATTCTTAAGGTCTTATTTACACTACTGCACTATCTTATCCGGCGAAGAGCTCCATGCCGACGATGGCGAAGAAGTAATACCTGTCCAGCATCACGCAGTCCTCGGACGACATGAGGGGCGAGAGTTGTACTTCAGTACTGTATCTCTTCTTCAGCTTGTATAACCCATAGAACTATAAATCTTTGAACTAACATAGTCCTTCATACTCACACGCAGCAGTTCTTGAGGTCGTATCCGGCAAAGAGCTCCATGCCGACAATGGCGAAGAAGTAATACATGACCAGCATCACGCAGCCCGCGGACGACATGAGGGGCGACAGGAGAACCAGAGTGCCGAACACGTCTCTGTATCTCTTCTTCAGTTTGTATAAACGCATCAATCTGTGATTCAAAGACGATTATTGGTGGTCGTACCTATGTGACTATACAAATAATAGGTCCGTGCGTTACAATACTTAGTATTGTTTACATTTTATTTTGGAGGGTAGATTTTGGTGTTTTGTAACAACTTTGATAACGTGAAAATAAGAGCAATATTTGTGGTGGTGATGCAAGGTGCATATCTAACTATCATGACATGACTTTGGATTTACTTCTTTATTAGAGGATTAGCCTGTTGATAGTGAACAGCTTAGTTTAGACTTTAACATCCACGTTTTAAAACAATTTAGGAAAAAAAATATTTAGATTTAATTTTGGAATATACCTACTATAAGTAATTTATTTGTTTATTCGCAGTTTCTAGCCCGTACTGGATAACATATTTATTTTCTAGGTTTTCACACACACCACTCATTAAATAAAACAAATATATACTATAAGTAATTGTGTTCTGTGTCATTCCCCTCACCTGAGTGGCCTAAATATGACCACTATAAACAGTCCCGGCGCTATTGAAAGCAGTACAGCGCCCATCAACGCTAGCAGCGTGACACTTAGGTCGAACACATTCCACCCACTCTCCAAGTACGCGCTGAGACCGGAAGCCATCATGCGTAGACCCGCTTCCATTAGGAACACTGAAATGTTTATTAACCTCTTAAAATTGAAAGTTTGCATAGGTGACACAAAATTTGTAGTCAATTTTGATTCGATAAGACAGGAGCGGTTAAGATTGGTGTTAGGCGTCCTCGAATTTGATTTACCAGTCGGGTTAGTGACATCATTATCATCATGACCAGCCTATTGATGTTCACACTGCTGTGGCACAGGTCTTCCCTGTCGATGGAATACAGAGACTTTGCAATGATCCACTATACAAGCACAGTACGGATTGGTGGTAGTCAACGCCTGTAGATAAAATATGCTAAAGTAATTAAAATAAATATATATATATATATATATATATATATATATATATATATATATATATATATAAATAAAATAAGTATTTCCAACTCACACCAATTAGCCTAGCCCCAAAGTAAGCACTGTAAGACTTGTGTTATGGGATGCTAGGGTAACGGATAGAATACATAAACTGTACATATATACTTATTAAACATCCATGACTGGAGTGCAAATGGTCGTATTCCTCACACAAACATCTGCCCCCACCAGGATTCGAACCCGGGACCTCTCGAGTCGGCGACACCATGAAACCCGGCGTACAAACCACTCGGCCACGGAGGTCTTCCATCGACGACGACGATGTATCTAACTTTGTTTCATTCCCCAGATAATTTTTCATTACCCTTCAACTCTGATTTTAATGACAAAACATAGTATAAATTATCCTTTTTCAAATGTAAGCTTGTTCCTGCCCTACAATGCGCACATATGATATATAGTTAGCTCGTTTTTATCACGCTCAATGGTCAAATAACTATAGAGTTTGACAGACGTGATAAAAACCATAATAAAATGTCAATCACGGTGCTAATACTACGGATCTGAATTAACTAAAATCAGGCAGGTAGAGTTCCTACTTTCATATTTTATGTAGGTAAATAATATTGATTCATTTCGTGGGTATGATATATAAAGTTCTACTTAATAATATCAACGGATAAATTTTCCTTCCTTCCTACAATCTGGGGTCCTTTAAGAGGGGCGTGAAGAAGCATTTCGCAGGCCGGCAAGGTGACGATGGTTGGTGTAGCAGTTTATAACTGCTATACCAGCTAACTTCGCGTTTGGATTTTATCACCACTTAACATCAGGTGGGGTAGAAATAGCCTACCTCGCTATAAAAAAAACGACGGATTGCACTCCGGGATTGCCGGCAGAAGTGAAAACTTGAATATTAACGTTGTGGATTTTTGATATTTTGGAATGGTTAGGGAATAATTTTGCACGAATTGCTTTAATTATCAGTATAAAAGTACTATCATTTATGTGGTAGAATACAATATTTATTTATTGCGCTATCGTACACAAACATGACAATTTATATTACATTAAAAAGTTTATCTCTCAGAAAAATTAACTTACATGAATCACGTTTAAGCGCACTTAGCGACATCTATTGTAAAGAAATCAACTTACATGAATCACATTTAAGCGCACCTAGTGACATCTATTGTAAAAAAAAATGCATTTTCTTCGCAATAAAGCTGCCACGTGGACGTTCCAGATAGAGACTTATTATTATAATACGATAAAATAAAATATTACTATAGTTTGTCCAATATATTGAAAGTCAACAACCCTTCCAATTTTATTGTGTGTCATGATGCGATCAGCCCACGTGTTTAACCTGACGCGAGTTTAACATTTTTTACCCATTACACAAAAAGTGTTCACCGCCGCTAAAGAAGTTTTCACTTCAAAAATTCACTCACATGTGAGGAATAGCCAGGTGTCCCATGAAGCACACAGCAGTCGCGCGCTGTTCTGCAGATCACTTGCGGCCTGGCAAACGCGCAACACCAGACACACGCCGTTGCCGACTATCAGAGCATCTGAAATTTAAAGTTTTAAGAGGTTTAGGACAGACAAAGTAAAAATGCTCTTCCTTGTCTAAAACCTGAACTAATAAAAAAATAACAGAATTGACTGTTGCTGAGCACTATTAAGGGCGCTTTCAATTTATGCGTTTCTTGACGGCCTGCTGCGGTGCCGAAGTGGTGCGTTTGTCGTACAGTGTACGGACGATCCTTTTTTTTTCACACAAAACGCGCGGTGCGGCAACAGTGCGGCGCCGGTACCGCGAACGCTCGACAACAGGAAAGATTTATAAAAAGTTGGGAATTCCTATAGTTAAGCATTATAAAGAAGGTGTCCGGTTCTCACATATAAGGTACTCGAAGTAAGGCCATCTAACTGCCGCCGCGGCCGCTCTTCCCACGGGCTCCATCGGCGACTCCGCGTACCAGGGCGCTCGGGACTGCTGCGGGCACCAGCGTAATGCGAACACTTCGTATAGGTTGGAGAATTCGGCCCGCGTCAGCCCGCCCGAACCTGATTGGTTCAGCTGCTTGAACATCAGGTACACGTCTAGACCACCTGGAATCAAAAATATTACGATAGATTTTTGTTTTAAGCTTAGTGTAAAAGTTTAATATGCAATATACTAAATATACAAGGAGCGCGACTGCCGCGAACACTATACTCATATTTATTTACAAGAAGACCTCGTACTTTTTGAAAATCAAAACATGTAGAATTAGTGGAAAATTGTTAAGAGTTTTTAGAGACTGGCGAATGACTAATCCTATGATTTGTTTTTTGTGAGTAAAGTTTTGTTGCGTAGATATTTAAGTTGGATTAAATATTTTTCCTCTACCCTATGGGGCAGCACAGTACAATGTCATTTGGAAACATCAGTAGACGGAATGATAGCACGCCCTTCAAGAGAAATAAAGATTTTTTAAATATTGCCCTTTCATTCTGAATAAGGTCACCAGAGTTTAACATTTCACGTTACAAGCGTGTTACTTTAAGCTAAGCAGCCACTAATGACGAAAATCATTAATGCTTTTATGGCAGCGGCATCATCTGTAATTTTGTACTTACGACGCTTTGTCTGTGCCATGTCGAGCTGTTGCATCACACGAGATATCATGCTATGCTCTCTTTAGTAACGGCTATTGTCTACACATCGTTTACAGCTAATAAATATATTAGGTAAACATTTGGAAGAAAACTGTATGTAAAAGTCGCTTCAAGAGTTATGAATATGTGTTATGAATTGTAACGGAGTTGTAAAGGAAATAAACTTGTGATTATAAGTGAGGCTTGTTTACATTTAACGAAAAACTAACTAGAAGATTTCTTCTGTTTTAATATCAATTCTTCAAGTTTAATATAAAAAGAATGAATAATCGTACTGTAATGCGGCGCGTAGTGTCTCATGAGGCCGGCGAAGTGTCGCAACCTCACAGCGTGCGGCGCCCGACGCGACACCAGCAGGCGGAAAGCGTGTCGCGCCGCCCGCCGCCGGTGTAGCAGCAGCGCTCGGCACTTCTCGCGCTCGATGCGGGTAAACGCCTCGTATACCACGGCCAACATCTATATAGAGAGAGGTCTCGTTAGTGCGACGCGTTGGATTAACAAGGTCCGCCAAAAGGCCCAGAACATCTCGCCCAAGTATCTGTCACGACTAGATACAAGCAGGCGGAACGCGTGGCAGAAGCAACGCGTGGCACTTCTCGCGTTCGATGCGGGTGAACGCCTCGTATACCACGGCCAACATCCATATAGAGAGAGGCCTCGTTAGTGCGACGCGTTGGATTAACAAAGGGGACGCCAAAAGGCCGAGAAGATATCGCCCAAGTATCTGTCACGACTAGATACAAGCAGGCGGAACGCGTTGCAGAAGCAACGCGTGGCACTTCTCGCGCTCAATGCGGGTGAACGCCTCGTATACCACAGCCAACATCTATGTAGAGAGAGGCCTCATTAGTGCGACGCGTTGAATAAACAAGTGGACGGGAAAAGACGCAGAACATCTAGTGCAAGTATTTGGTCACGACTAGATACAAGGAGGCGGAACGCGTGGCATAAGCAACGCGTGGCACTTCTCGCGCTCAATGCGGGTGAACGCCTCGTATACCACAGCCAACATCCACACAGAGAGAGGCCTCATTAGTGCGACGCGTTGAATAAACAAGAGGACGGGAAAAAACGCAGAACATCTAGCCCGAGTATCTGGTCACGACTAGGTACAATAATTCGAAATGCGTGTTGCGCCGCCCGCTGCCGGTGCAGAAGCAACGCGCGGCACTTCTCACGCTTAATGCGGTTGAACGCTTCGTTAATGACGGCCAACGTCTGTTTTAATAATAGGACATGTATAACGGACTGAACGACAATCGCATGATATTGACAATCCCTTTAGAAAGAGACAAAATACGATACGAAGATGAAGTATGGGTCTCCCTATTGTTTAGTCTCTCTCCCATTTCTGATTTGATCCAAAACTTCCCAGTTTTATTTCAGAGTTGTTTAGGGAACGCGCAGTCCATCCTCTATGGTTATGAATGCAGCGAATACTTACGAACGATTACGATACGCACTGTTGGGCTCACGGTCACATCGTCGCTGTTATACTTATCTTCCCAGTTTTAATTTACAGTTGGACAGCGAACGCTAAGTCCATTTGTTTATGGTCGCTACTAATAGAGGTTACCCTAAGATTCTAAATTAATATACCAAGCGAATTAAACTAAATACGATAATCGAGGTTTGAGTGCCCTAGAAGGCTTTGAATTTGAATTACGACGCGTCTGCGTGCGTTGGTCGTTTGTTATATCAAATCGACTTCAACTCTGTTAATTTTGTATTAGAATGGATATTAATTGGAAATCTCTCTCTATACTAAAATAAAAAAAAAATGTGTATACTTTACAACTCACCAAATTCATAAGGACGTATAGAACAGTGATGATGTATAAGATGAAGAAAAGCGCGTACCATTTCGATTTAGCATATGAAGGCATCATCACGTCAGGGAAACTAGAAAAATTAAAGCATTTTTAATAAAATAAATAAATATTTTCAACATTCACACCAACTAGCCTATCCCCAAAGTAAGCACTGTAAGGCTTGTGTTATGGGAAAGTAGGGTAACGGATAGAATACATAATACTGTACATATTTAAGTATATTTATATAGAAATACATATTAAACATCCAAGAATGGAGTACAAATGCTCGTATTCATCACACAAACATCTGCCCCCATCGGGATTCGAACCCGAAACCTCTCGAGTCGGCGACACCATGAAACCCGGCATACAAACCACTAGGACACAGAGTTAGTTACTTTTATCAGATTATTATTAATATTGATTTATTTATATTTTAACGCCTATGTTTTCTAAATAATAAATATAAACTTACTTGGCAGTAGTCAACAACACGAACATACTGACAAACGAATCGCTGATAGTCTGGAAATGTCCATTGTCCACGTGCTCAGAAAACAGGTAATAACCAAGAAGAGAATATGTTGCTACAAAGAACATTAGCAACCCTGCAAAAACAAGTTAAGTATACGTTAGAATATTTTATGTACATTCTAGCTAAATTCACATTCATATCATCAATGATAATTAGCAGTTACGAATTACTGGATTTCTTTGTTGGATACGATTGTTTCTTTATGATGCGAAGGTTTCAATCACGTAGAAGTACGAAAAATGGCTTCGAAATTATTTTAAAAACATATGAATTGCAATAGCTAAAATGCATGTGAAAAATCTTATACATTAAGTCTATCTGGATGATGTTTTCATCACTTCGTCGTATAAACAGTAAGTTTATACATTTTACGTAAATACTTACCAAGCATATCAATAATTGGCGGCAGTGATTGTAGAATTTGTCTTATGAATCTTCTCACACCACCACAGTGTCTGGTGTCGACCAAAAAGATAGGTCTTAACGCTCTCGTCACACGGAAATGTGACGACTGTCGGCATAACACTACTACAGCTTCCAGGACCATTATCATAAGCGTTATACCCTGAGAAATAATAAAACAAAAAAGTTATCAAAACTTATCGATGAACCTTAAGGCAAAAACGTATGGTAAAATAGTAACCTAGTAGAGTCAGAAACAGACTTTTGAAACGCGACGCGATCGAACGCCATGTGGCGCGTGTTCAATCAAATTAAATCTACTATTTTCTGCGCGCATCGCATCGCTTCACGTCGGATGTTGTTAATGTGATTCTGATCATAGAAAATAATAGATTTGATTTGACTCAACACGCGTCGCGTGGCGTCGGGTCCCGTCTCGTTCCAAAAGTCTGTTTCTGCCTTTACTAGGTTACTAATTTACTGTATTACTTTTATTTTTCGCAATCTTCATAGGTACTATGTAATTCATAAGTCAAATTCTGCCGCTGCATGGACTCTCTGTATGGACCTATGTATGTTTATCACGATCATCTCAAACACTACTGAACGGGTTTTCGTGTGGTTTGCCATCAGTTAGTGTAATTTTTCCACGAAAGATTAACATGCTTATTAAAAGATTTTTGATATTTTTATTTTATTATTAATTTTCTATTATAAATAATTGGTTATTATTTTTGAATTAGCTGCACTTAATATTTATAAAGTAACTTATGTTATTTGCTACCATGTAACTTATTTTTTGCTTTCTTTTCAAGGTACATGGTAGCAATCCCGTAAATAACATAAATGAATAGATATAATGTTAGTGGCCGTGGAAGTTTAAAGCTTAAAATCACATTTGATTTGCTCATCATACCTTTAACATTGTCCTTTTATGTTTGAGTATCGTACTCCACCCGATCCATTTCAGTTTCAAGTGCAGTTCCACTCCTATCACAGTTAATGCAAGCAGTTCTATCGTACCATGTGCCCATACTGGAAGCTGTAATTAAAAACACATATTATGTTAAACTTACTCACAAGAGCCCTTCACAGTCTCATCATCAATATATTTGATAAACTATGCTAATAATATTTATGTCTGTATATATGTGTATACAGAAATTATCAGGTATTAGTGGAGTCCACGACATCATCATGCCTTCATCTGTGCGGAAATTGGTTTTCCAATCAAACTTCCACCCCTAAAGAATGGTTTCTGGGATAAAAATTATCCTTTGTCCTTTCCCAGGACTCACACTATATCTATATCAAATTTCAAAATTGGTTCTGCTGTTAAAGCGTGAGGAGGTAACAGACAGGCAGGATATCTATGCAATTTATAATATATATTAAAGTATGGATAAATACAATAGCAGTAATATTTAAAGAATAATAGCTCACACGAAATGTGGGGACTGCAGGGTCCTCTGTAAAGGCGAGTAGGATGAGCACTAGAGATGCTAGCAGATCGAGCCCATGATACCAGGGGTTGTGCACCCGCAGATAGGCCGGCAGCTCTTCAGGGCTGGAAGGGTGTGAGTCAAACTTCTCATTGTTTTGTCCTTCCTGAAAATTTCAGCAGGAATTTCATTAAAATATATTGTTACAGTCAAATAATGATCGGTAGGTGAGTAAGTGGAACAACCGCCAAAGCACTTAAGCAATTATAATCATAAAAATAAATTGTTCACTTTGTATGACAGTAAGTAATAGTACAATATTGGTAGTCACACATGTGAAAATAAAAGAATATCGCGTCCTCTTTTGCATTGCATAATTACCAACACTGTCACTGCTTACGTAATTAGTATGCTATACGGGACATATTTACGAGAGGTCACATGATGCTGTAAGTTCTCGTCTCTCGTTTTTATCTAAAACGAAACAAATCCTAGGTTTGTGTTGTTTGTGTTTTTCATCATTTTGATGTAACGAAAGTCTATACGGTTAGTCCTTTGTAAAGCAAATACTGCCCAAGTTTCCACCAAATCAGAGGTTTTCTTATTGTCAACAAAAGTTAGGCATAGCGGTAACGCGAAGAAATAAAATAGCATGAAAGGAGGTCGGACCTTTGGTCACCCATTTGACATGTTATTGGCACGGGAAGGACACGCACTAGCATCTATTTCGATCAATGAATGTGCATCGAATCTATTAGCGAGAATATTTAAAATGACTTTTGAAACCAAGTTAAAGAGATGACTCAGCAGAATTCTAAATAAATTTTATTGAAATCATCTGAAATGTGTGAATTTATAATATCTACATTACCTGTTAAAAATACTCGTTGTTTTCTACCAATACCGAAAAAATACCAAAATACCGATTTTCCGGTATTAAAAATTACAATACCGAAATATACCGATATCAGAAAATCGTGAGCAGTACCCCTAGCACGAACCATTATCAAATTCGAATAGTCTGCGAGTGCGAAATGGCAATGTACGTAACGAGAACTAAAAATCAGTACACATTTGACAATGACATTACGGACTCGCAAACTATTCCAATTCGATATAGATTCGTGCTAAGGGTACTGGAGTCCTTTCGGTATTCCATGCTCTACTCATTGTTAATGGGGTCACTGATGACTTTTTAGTCGTCATCCCTGACGGCTGCATGAGCGTCTAATGTATGTGCCATAGATTGCTGAGCCTGGGTGCTACCGTTAACAACGCCTACCCTGCATGCACTATTGGTTAAACCGCCTTTGCATAGATATGTATCCTAGTAGCAATTTGAGTTGGCTGTTTGTTGGGCCTTGGCCATCTTGTCACCCATATAAAAAGTGGTGCCAACTATAGGAATAATGTTAACCCTCTTTGCAGGGCCAACAACACGTTTCTTTCAGAAGGCTTGCTGTACATCCATACCGTATATCTTCATTGGCTAGGCTTTGGTGTTCTTTCAATGGCCCTAAGAAAGAATGAATACTGTATACTGACGTTGGCGAGGTGTTGGTTTTCTTAAACTCGTAACGTAACATGTATTTGGCAGGCCCTATAAAGGGAAAGTCCCTTTATAGGGCAATTAATTTCACTACCATTTGTTGGCTATGGTTGGCAAAAACACCCCAACAGGAATTGCTACTACGGTAATTACTTTACTAACTTAGTTATAAGCATTATCTACCTCTAGATATATGGCAGCCTCATGGTAATTCATCTCCCAGTGCTCGTCTTCGGACATGTGCAGACCGGTGTGCAGTGAAGACCGGCTGCCCATGTCCAGAGTGCCTCCGTCGCCAGCGCCATCTGTGCCGGTTCTGGTATCTGGAAAAGAGATCATAGGTACACTCATTGATGTTTCACAGTACCGAATAAAATAAACATACTGTGTTAGGCATTGTATGCGAGATTGCACTTTGATTCTTCTAAAACGCCATCATCATCAGCCTATTAATGTCCCTACTGCAGGGGCACAGGCCTTCCCCATGGATGGAATAGGGAGATTGAGCCATGACCCACCTCGCGGGCTCAGTGAGGATTGGCGGGTGCTAACGACTGCAGAGGCAGCCGGGACCAATAGCTTAACGTGCCTTCCGAAGCATGGAGGAAGTCGAGATAGTAGATTTTTGGTCACCCATCCAATGACCGACCATTGCGAAAATTGCTAAAGTTGCTTCTAAAACGTATGTGCACCTTTTTACAGTTATTTACAAAATATAAATGTATAATATGTTTTTCCCATAAAACTTACAAATAAACGGTATATTACTAAATGTTTTTATAAGAACAGTTTCATATATTTTACATTAAATTTAATAAATATTATAACAGTCAAAACACGTATGTCTGGATTGATAGGTATCTTTTTCATTCATTTCATTCCATTATCTACAAGTCAAATATAAAGATAAAGCTTTTCACCGGAAATGTGTGAGCGAAACGGAAATAAGGAAAGAACCACCACGATATTAACAAAACATATTTCTTTAAGTGATCACTAGTATATGTATAGAAAAAAAATACACTGAAAATATGGGTAAGCTTCTTCATACCTTCTAAGCAAATAGCTTGTTTATCGTCCATAGATAAATCAGGAAACAAATCAACAGTTACTCGAACAAGTCTAGTTTGTTATTCAGCAGGACAATATGATAATTATCTCTTTTAAAACGTCAATAAACTACACTTTACTAAATATTTAACCGCCGTACGTTCTCCTCAAACACACACATACTTGGCAACGTGCATTACTCTAAAACGACGACCTCGAAATAGTGAAATTTACGCATCGTGCGCACGCGCAGGAAATCCTAACTGAATCACATTATCGCTGCCTGATTAGTAAACAATAAACAAAGCGGAGATTCTAAAGGGAAATTTATTTATGCCATAGGTATACCTATTATGTAAATACTTCTACACTAAATTACCTATTGACGTGACAATTTACAAATACTTATTTATCATAGAAAATTTAGTAAGTAGATATATAGTTTGGAGGATATCCATGAGCATCGCTATGTAGTTACGGGTAAAACAAAACTAATAAAAAAATAATTTAGGGAATGACGACTGACGATCGAAATTATAATCGAAGTACAAGCATTTTCTAGCATATGATAAGTACCTAATCCTAATGTTTCGTGCAGTGCAGCTAATGAACAGTGAGAATAATTATTTTGTCCAATAATACACGAAAGAAAATGATATTTGATTTGAAAATAAATACATACTCAACAATCCAGAAACAGCCGAACCGATTGACTCGTGCAGTATAGATTTTGCTCTATAAATAACGTCATCCAGTTTTCTGTTCATTTTTATTTTAACCGTAACTTTTAAATATTATATGAAACAGTGTGGGAACACCAAAGTAATAATATAACAACTGACTGAGATGACTGTATCAGTCTGACAAATAATTAATATGCGAATATGGGGCGAGATAAAAAGCCAAGTGTAACGACAGCAAAATAGTCACAACTTGCGACCCAATAGACAAGTCAAATCGATGCTGGAAGATATTTTCTAAGAAACCTTCTCGTGGATAAGTAAATAGGCAGATAAACATATTACAAATTGTTCAATTTATAATTTGTTTTAATTTTAATCTAAGTATTTATTTAGGGGTCGCAAGTTGTGACTACCCTGCTTGTAAGGATCTTGAATTGAAGGATTTTTAGAAAACAAAAACCCAAAAAATAATCATGTTTCGTCAGTAAAAAACATACGCAAGTGCATGCAAAAAGAAAAATTGAACTAATCGTAGCAAAACTAAGTCAATTATTTAATCACTTTGAGTTACCATTAAATCCGACACAATCCAGACCATTAATCCGATTTGAAGCGTGCATAAACGACATTAAAAACCTATTTTACTCTCGTGCAGAATTAATTGATACTAAAAAAATAGAATTGATCACGCAAAATAATTTAATAATTCGTTTCATGGCATGTTCTTCTTCTTCGAGTGTCTCTCCAACTAGTGAAGGCTGACAATCAGCTCCACATATTTTCCCCTAGCAAGGTTGAAAAGTTTTTCGCGGCACTTGTGGCATGCTTCTCCCTGCGTTAGGGCAGCCAAATGTCATCCAAATTTAAAACACAGAAAATTTAATCTGTACAATATTGTTTGGATACTTAAAATATGTTTTGCTGACCGTACCAACAACCTACTATACGAACAGAAGCAATCCGTTATCAAGTTGTAAATGTTTGAACAGCGATCTGTTTACGCATCGCTGGGCTGATGTTTTTCATTTAAGTGAGGGTTGCAACATAGACATAGCCAATACCAATTGAAAATCTGACCCACCACCAGTGTGATTTCGTGGTAAAATATAAGGGTTGCCAGATAGTCGGGAATCGCGATTCTCCCGACATTTTATGTGATCTTCTGACTTCCGACAAATAATGAAATCTCCCGACAAATGAACATGACCTGTCCACCACATCTAGCTTAGGTAGGAGACGACCGGTCTGGGGGGGGGGGGTATAATTCCCACATTTTATCCAGATTTTGACTTCTCGAGCAGATGCAGCCGGGAACATCTTGTCTTAACGTGCTTCTCATTTTAGAGATCTGTTTTGCGAAATATTGAACTAAAGTGCTATTATGGGCGTCTCCCCCACTCTAAACTTATAAGTAAATTACGCTAAAAGCTAAACTATTGGTTTGAAAAACCTGGAAAAATACATGATAATAGTGCTTCATTAACTTTTAAGGAAAACTATAACGATTAAGATAGGTTTGTTAGTTTAGGAGTAATAGTCGTTCAACTTTGGTTAATGAAAATTTCTTACTAATTGAAAATTCCTTAGAAGAAAACATTAATAGTGATATAGATGAAGTTATTATAGCGTAAAACCTTGCATTGCAAAAAAAAAAACTATTTATAACCCACAATAAAATATCATTAGTTCCACAAAGCTACCGCGAGTATCAACCACAAAGTACCAACGGCAAAGGCTTCTGAATAGTGCTATCGTTACGTTTTAATAAAGAGGAAGCACTTGAAAAGATCGGCGGTTATGCTTCGTATTTAGGAAAAAAAAATCGAATTGATTTTGAGTTTGACACGCAGTTAGATATGAGATACATAGTTTGACATTAATTGTTTTTTGATGTGTAACATCTTTCCTCTCGCTTTCCTGCAATATGTGGGAGTGATTTCGTGAAATGGGATAGAAGTGTGTAACAGGAAGCCGCGAATGCGCGCGCTATTTGATTTGATTTTAGAATTTAATGTTCAAATCCCTTATTCCTTTTGTAGTAGGTTTTATTTCTGTTTTTACTAATAAAAGGTGAGGTTTCAAATGTTACACATCATGCGCGACTTCTCGTTAGGCTCGCTCGTTTTTTTAATACCAGATACAGAAAATACAGACACCTGCTCAAACATATTGTGGTCACGACTAGGTTAGGGTTGCCAACCTTATTCTAAAATAGAGTATTGTCCTCTATATCATGTAGGCATACTCTATAATCTACAACACTAATAAAGTACGCTAAATACTCCTTTTTAGAAAATGTTGACTAAACTAGTGAACGTATGTAATAATATGCAAAAATCCATAATCAGATTAAAAAATTCCACTATTTACTGTTAATATATTGGTATTGCCGGTCACGACATGCAACTACTGAACCCTACACTGCGCGTGGCACGACACGCACTTGGCCGTTTTTTTTCTTTAATCTGTAGGTACCTATGGTTTAGCATAATATAACAGACATAATAATGAAATTCATTACGTTAGCTGGCACATTAAAGGCTTTCCTGACGTCACTAGCTGACAACCTTCCGGCATGCATCATTTATTTTGCAGTCAGGAACAATCGAAAATTTTCCCCGCTCATTTATCAATCAATAGCCGTTCAAAAATAGACTTATAGCCAATGAGTTAATGTGGGTAGTAAGTAGCGTTACAACAAAAGCGAGGGGATGGATATAATTATATGGGGATTGAGGAAACTTATGATAATGCTCCACCTCAAATCAATGGAGTTTAAGAACAGAAAAGGTTTTGTATTACGTACAGATAAGCGTAGCTGTTCTTCAATATTTTAACGGACAGTAAAAAATAAAAATCTCCCAGTCATTTAATGAAAACTGAAAAGAAATCGAAATGTTTTTGTCATATAGTCAAAAAAGAGTTTAATCTAAGAAAAAAACAAAACTAAGTGATTAGTCACGGAGCGCGTAGCATGTGCTATTCAAAGAAACTTAATTTTTAAATGAAAACAAAACAATATTACACTCCCCAAGGGTACCCATCTGACAGACTTTCGCCGTATTTGACAGGCATTTCGCGGCTTAGAAGGGCGTACAGCCGGCGCTAAGCTGAGACAGGTATTTTTGAATTTCGCGTGTCACTCACTCAGTCACGACACGCATGCATGGCGAGTGTGCGTGGCCCAAGCGCAGGGCGTCATTTAGAGTTCTGACCGCCCTTGACTAACTATGAATATGCTCCCCCCCTGCCTGTCCTGTCCTACCTTTTCATTACAGGTACAACTAATTAAATTACAAGTACAGAAGAGAGCTTAAGGTAATCTAACCTAACCTAACATCATTGAACCAAACTATCAGTAAGTCGGTAAACTAAAGACGAAAGGAACCAAATAACAATGTGCTAAAATCAAAGATTCCAACACAGATTTTTACTATTTATTTAGTCCTAAAAATATAAAGGAAGGAATGAAAAAATAAATAATTAACTTTATAGTCTAAGAGCTATGACACTAAACCTAGTATGACAAGACTCCCAGATGATTGTCTATATACCTAATTAGACGCGTCATTAAAAGGAGAACACGAAAT